AAAGCAGCTAATAACAAACATAATGGAAAATGAAGTAATTGATAGTAATACAGTAATAGGAGGTTTTACCATTTCACTTAAATCAATAGATCATCCCAAAGAAAATCAACAAGGAAACAGTGGCTTTGAAAGACACATTGGACCAGATAGATCTACAGATATATTTAGAACACTCTATTCTAAAGCAACAGAATACACATTCTTTTCAAATGCACAAGGAACTTTCTCCAGAAATAGATCACATATTTGGCCCCCCAAAAAAGTCTCAACAAATTAAAAAGACTGAAGTCATACCATGGGATTTTTCCAACCACAATGCTGTTAAACTAGGTATCAACCATAGGGAAAAATCTGGAAAGACCAGAAATACATGGAAGTTAGATAACATGCTACTGAACAACCCAAATGTGTAGTGCAAGAAATCAAAGAGGAAATCAAAAAACACATGAGGACAAATGAAAATGAAAACACAATGATCCAAAATCTTTGGGATGGAGCAAAAGCTGTTCTAAGAGGGAAGTTGATAGCAATACAGGCCTAACTCAAGATGCAAAAAAGTCTTAAATAAAAAAACCCAAAGTTACACTTAATGCAGCTAGAAAAGGAAGAACAACAACAACAACAAAAACCCCAAACCAGTAGAAGGAAGGAAATATTAAAGATTAGAGCACAAATAAATGGAATAGAAACAAAAAAACAATGGAATAGATCAGCAAAACCAGGAGCTGGTTCTCTGAAAAGCTCAACAAAACTAATAACTTTTAGACTCATCAAAAAGAAAAAAAAATGAGAAGACTCCAAACGAAGTCAGAAATGGAGGAGATATAACTGACACCACAGAAATACAAAGAATTACAAGAGAATATTATGAAAAATTACATGCCAACAAATTGGACAGCCTAGAGGAAATTGAGAAATTCCTAAAAACATAAAACTTCCCAAAACTGAATCAGGAAGAAACAAAATTTGGGGATCCCTGGGTGGCGCAGTGGTTTAGCGCCTGCCTTTGGCCCAGGGCGCGATCCTGGAAACCCAGGATCGAATCCCACGTCGGGCTCCTGGTGCATGGAGCCTGCTTCTCTCTCTGCCTGTGTCTCTGCCTCTCTCTCTCTCTGTGTGACTATCATAAATCAATAAAAAATTTTTAAAAATCCATATATATATAAAAAAAGGAAGAAACAAAATTTGAATAGACTGATTACCAGCAGTGAAATTGAATCAGTAATAAATTCCAATAAAAGTCCAGGACCAGAATGCTTCATAGGTAAATTATACCAAACATTTAAAGAACAGTTAATACCTATTCTCAAACTATTCCAAAACACAGAAGAGAAAGTAAAACTTCCAAATTCATTCTCTGAGGCCAGCATTACCCTGATACCAAAACCAGATAAAGGCACCATTTAAAAAAAAAAAGAGAACTACTGGTTCATATCCCTGTTGAACATTCATGCAAAATTCTTCAACAAAATACTAGAAAACTGTATACATTTATAAAATCATTCTCCATGATCAAGTGAGATTTATTCCCAGGATTCAAGGGTTGTTCAGTATTCACAAATTAATCAATGTCCTATATTACATCAATATGACCAAGAATAAACACCATATAATCATTTCAGTAGATGCAGAAAAAAGCATGTGACAAAGTACAATACCCATTCATGATACAAACCCTCAACAAAGTAGGTTTAGAGGGAACAATCCTTAACATAAAGGCCAAATGTGGAAAAGCCACACCTAACATCATACTCAGTGGCAAAACCTGGGAGCTTTTCTCCTAAGATCAGGAACAAAACAAGGATGTCCACTCTCTCCATTTTTATTCAACATAGTACTGCAAGTCCTAGACACAGCAGTCAGACAACAAAAAGAAATAAAGGACATCCAGATTGGCAAGAATGAAGACATTCACTTTTTACAGGTGACATTATATATAAATATAAATATGTATATAAATATATATATTTCTTTAACAAATGATTATATATATATATATATATATATATATATATATATATATATATATATATAACCTGGAAGACTCTACCAAAAAACTACTAGAACTGATACATGAATTTAGTTAAGTCACAGGATACAAAATCAATATACAGAAATCTGTTGCATTTTGACACACTAATAATGAAGCAGCAGAAAGAGAAGAAAACAGTCCCATTTAAAATTGCAACAAAAAGAATATAAGATCTAGGAAAACTTGACCAAGGAGGTGATAGATCTGTACTCTGAACACTTTAAAATTGATGAAAGAAATTGAAGACAACACAAATGGAAAGATACTTCATGCTCATAAATTGTGAGAACAAATATTAAAATGTCCATACCATCCAAAGCAATGTACGGATTCTTAAGATGATTTTTTTTTAAATTTTTTTGAGAGAGAGTGCATGAGCTCAGTGGGGCAGAGGGAGAGGAAGAGAGAATCATCAAGCAGATTCCCCTCTGAGCATGGTATGTGATATGGGGCTTGATATCAGGACCCTGAAATCATGACCTGAGCCAAAATCAAGAGTCGGACCCTCAACCAACTGAGCCACTGAGGTGTCCCCAATCTACAGTTTTCATAGAATCCTTATCAAAATATCAACAGCATTTTTCACAGAACTAGAGCAGATAATCCTCAAATTTATATGGAACCACCAAAGACTTCCATTAGCCAAAGCAATCTTGAGAAAGAACAGAGCTGGAGATACCACAATTCCAGATTTCAATATATACCACAAACCTATAGTAATCTATATAGTGCAGTACTGGCAGAAAAACAGATCAGTGGAACAAAATAGAGAGCCCAGATATAAACCCATGATTATATGGTCAGTTAGTCTTTTACAGAAGAGGCATGGATATGCAATGGAAATAGTTTAACAAATGATGTTTGGAAACCTGGACAGCTACATACAAAAGAATTAAACTGGACCACTGTCTTATACCAATATGCAAGAATTTAAAAATCAGCTAACCTAAATGTGATACCTGAAACTAAAAAAAAAAAAAAAAAAAAAAATTGTGAGCACAGACAGTAATTACTCTGACATCAGCCATAGCAGCCCATTTTGAATATGTCTCCTGAGGCAGGGGGAAGCAAAACCAAAAATAAAATATTGAGATTTTTTCAGAATAAAAAGCTTTTGCACAGCAAAGGAAACACCAAAACTAAAAGACTGCTGAATATGAGAAGATATTTGCAAATGACAAATCCAATAAAGGGTTAGTATCCAAAATGTATAAAGAATTTATACAATTCAGCAAAAAAACAATAATCTGATTTAAAAATGATCTGAAGACATGAACAGACATTCCTCTGAAGAGGACTTAAAGATGGCCAACAGACACATGAAGAGATGCTCAGCATCACTCATCATCAGGGAATTCCAAGTCAAAACCACACTGAGATCAACTCACACTTGTCAGGATAGCTAAAATAAAAAATGCAAGAGACAAGTGTTGGCAAGGATGTGGAGAAAAAGGAACCCTTGTGCACTGTTGGTGGGAATGCAAACTGGTGCAGCCACTGTGGAAAACAGTATAGAGGTTCCTTAAAAAGTTACAAAGAGAACTACCCTGCAACCCAGCAATTGCACAACTGGGTATTTACCCAAAGGATACCAATACACTAATTCAAAGGGATACATATACCCTTATATTTATAGCAGCATTATTTAGAATAGCCAAGATATTACCATATAATCCAGTAATTCCACTATTGGTATTTACCCAAAAATATGAAAACTCTAATTTGACAAGATATATGCACCCCTATGTTAATTGCAGCATTATTAATAATGGCCAAATTATGGAAACAGCCCAAGTGTCCACTGATAGATGAATGGATAAAGAAGAGGTGGTATATATAATGGAATATTACTCAGCCATTTAAAAAAATGAAATACTGCCATTTACAATAACACGGATGGATTTAGAGAGTATAAAGCTAAATGAAATTAGAAAAGGACAAATGCCATATGATTTCACTCATGTGGAATTTAGGAAACAAAGAATGAAAAAAGAGACAAACCAAAAAAAAAAAAAAAAAGACAAACCAAGAAACAGGTTCTTAACTATAGAAAACAAACTGTTGGTTAATAGAAGGGAGGAAGAGGATTAAGAGTACACTTACCATGATGAGCACTGAGTAATGTATAGAATTTTTTTTAATAATTTATTTATTCATGAGAGACAGAAGGCAGAGACATAGGCAGAGGGAGGAACAGGCTCCCCACAGGGAGCCCGATGTAGGACTGATCCCAGAATCTGGGATCACGCCCTGAGCTCAAGGCAGAGGCTCAACTGCTGAGCCACCCAGGCATCCCTATAGAATTGTTTAATCAGTATATATTGTACACCTGAAACTAATATAACACTGTATGTTAACTATACTGGAATTAAAATTTTTTTGAACAGTACTTTTAAAAATTCTTACCTCAGGGATCCCTGGGTAGCTCAGTGATTTAGCGCCTGCCTTCGGCCCAGGGTGTGATCCTGGAGTCCCGGGATCGAGTCCCACATTGGGCTCCCTCCCTGCATGGAGCCTGCTTCCCCCTCTGCCTGTGTCTTTGCCTCCTTCTCTGTGTTTCTCATGAATAAATAAATAAAATCTTAAAAAAAAATGCTTAGCTGAATATTATGATCTTATAAATCTGAATTTGTTCAAGTAGTTATAAGTGTAAGCATTTAATTGTGCCTTTTAATTTGTATAACAGTTGATCATTATCTCTATTTTTGGCATAATGTATATAATTGTGTCATATTATCTATAAATTTTATTTCAGAAATGGTAGAGAAGTTGTTGTAAATATTGTCTTTTTGTATATAGAGAGCATTGAGTTTGATCAGGGTAATAACCGCCACTTGTATGTCTTCCATTTAGTATCTTTTGGTGATGGAAGCAAGAGAAAGGAAGAGAGCAAGAAAGATAATTCTAATTTACTTATTTGGAACTTTGCAAAAAGCGTGGTCTCATGGTTCTGTTTTCTTCTCTCCAGCTCTGCCTTTTTGAGACTCTGTGCTTCTCTAAGCTAGGAATCCAGAGGAGGATGGATCATTTCTTGCAGTGCTAAAAACCATGGATCAGGTAAATTGGTGTTTTTTGGTGCTCTCTTTAAGAAGCCACTTTTTTACAGAGTATGTGTATGTTTGCTTTCCTTATTTCTGAAATTTCCTTCCTAACTGACCCCACTCAGGAATGTGCTCCTCGGCATTCCATCCCTAAGTTTGTGTTTTTCATCTAGCCTATATTTACATAATTACTCAAAAATAGTTTGGGCATCTCTGACTAGGAGATATGACAAAAGCAGATTCCCTGATTTTAGAAGATAAGGAAGTTTGTTAAATTGCACCACACATGGGAAAATTGAACTTTTCTTTAGATGTAAGTTTTCTGGTTAGACAAGATCATTACTTTTGCCTGGATTCAGTCTCCCTACCCGGTAAGAGCTTATGTTTTGTGAGCTTTTAAGATTGATTAGGAGCATGATTAGAGATTGAGAGATCAGAGATCTTCCCTGGAAATCCATAATTGACATAAAGCAATAATACAGATAATTTTAAGAGTCAACATTATTAGTTAATCTTGTATGCATAAGTTTAGATTATCTTTTCTTTTCCTTAGAACAAGGGAAGGGTACATTTATAGGTGATAAATAATAGTAAGAAAGATCATCATTCACATGCAAAAGTTGCTGAAAATTATAAACTCCCAAAAGTGAGAAATGCTTATGAGATTTTTGTGTAACCAAAATGTAAAATGTTCAAACATGCACACTTGTAAGTCAGGCATATTCATTATATGGGGCTATTTTGCAGCCTATTATAAATATGCATTAAATTACTGATAAGGAGGAAAGTGCTTATGTAATATTCTGGTATGATGATGAACTGAGATTTCAATAATTTCTTTAATTTTATGCAAATTTTGGGATCCCTGGGTGGTGCAGCGGTTTGGCGCCTGCCTTTGGCCCAGGGCGTGATCCTGGAGACCCGGGATCGAGTCCCACGTTGGGCTCCCGGTGCATGGAGCCTGCTTCTCCCTCTGCCTGTGTCTCTGCCTCTCTCTCTCTCTCTCTGTGACTATCATAAATAAATAAATTTTAAAAAAAATTTATGCAAATTTATACAGATTTTATAAGACTTTGTGGAAAAACTTCCTGTTATTTTTCTTATTAGAGAATAAGAGAAATTTGCATTTATTGAGAATGTATGATATACAAGATACAAGCATAATTAAAGAGTGAATGATAGAGTATTTATTGTACAGGTTGCCTCTGTATGCTTTTTCTTTTAATTGTGTCTTCTTTAAGTTCCAGACTTATCTGTATAATGAGATGTTCTATATGCAGGAAATATCTACAGCAACAGAAATAATAAGGAACATGTTGGCACTTCAGAAGCATTGATTTTATAGTGTCTCATTTATGTCAATGGCTTTTTGCTGTTCGCTCTGAGCTCCCCATCATCTCCCCTCCATTGAAAAAAATATTTTCTTTATTTCCACAATTAGTATTATATTTGTTGTTTCAGAGATCAGTGATGTTCAGGGATGTTGCCATTGACTTCTCTCAGGAAGAGTGGGAATACCTGGACTCTGCTCAAAGGGATTTGTATAGAGATGTGATGTTGGAGAACTATAGTAACTTGGTGTCACTAGTAGGTAAGAAAATGTACCCCTAGTATTTCAGGATTTACCTTTGGAATGGCTGCTTTCTCTGATTGTTTTTAAGTAATTAACTAAATTGCCTCTTATTATTCTCAAAGAATTCTCTTATTCTTATTCTCTTATTATTCTCTCATTATTCCAGTTTTAAATTACTGGAAATAGCGGTATTTCAGAGCACATTTGTCTTCTCCACTCTGCAAGTATCATCTGTCTTTCTGGCTTCCTTCCTGTCTTAATAATCAAGGGGCTAGATTTGAATTCTGAGACACTTGCAATATTGTCGGAAAAATCAGGCTATGCATTGTTACAATTTATTTATTTTTAATTTTATTTTTTAAAAAGATTTTACTTATGTATTTATTCATGAGAGAGAAAGAGGCAGAGGGAGAAGCAGGCTCCACACAGGGAGCCTGATGCGGGACTCAATCCCCGGACTCCAGGATCATGCCCTGGGCCAAAGGCAGGCACTGAACTGCTGAGCCACCCAGGGATTCCCCCATTGTTATAATTTAGATTGGCTAAAGGTGCTCAAAATATTAAAAAAAAAAAAAGATGTAGATATGTATGCTTTTTCTGACAACAGAAGAGCTTATATTATTTATGTAGTAATAGGTAGATCAAGTCAGGTCAACATAATCCATTACAACGAATATATTCTCTTATATGTGTTTTGTAATTGAATATTACATTTTAAGAACTTTGTATTTTACATTGAATGAATGCACCAGAACATCTTTTATTGGAAAAGAGCTCAGGAAGAACATGTGATTATCTAAGAAAGTTTATTGTTTTTTTTTTTTTTTGTTTTGTTTTGTTTTGTTTTTAATTTGTTGAGGTTTAGTTTTTGGTGTAGGATGTAGCCTATCTTGGTATTTATTCCATGGGCACTTTAAAAGTGTTCTGAACCCAATTTCCAAATGTGGATGTGACATCAGTTGGGGAATTCTAGAATTTTTTTTTTTAAGATTTTATTTGTTTATTCATAGACACAGAGAGAGAGAGAGAGAGGCAGAGACACAGGCAGAGGGAGAAGCAGGCTCCATGCAGGGAGCCCGATGTGGGACTAGATCCTAGGTCTCCAGGATCACACCCCAGGCTGCAGGCAGCGCCAAACTGCTGCACCACAGGGGCTGTCCTGTTTTTTTTTTTTTTTGTTTTTGTTTTTTTTTTTTTCCTGTATCAATATGAGACTCTTTATGTCAGTTAAAACTTTAACAAATGATTTTCCAACCTAAATGATCACTTTATTTTTTTGGACTCTTCAAGTCCCTGAAATGTAACTGTCTCTTGCCCATTCCTCTGAATGTTTTATGAAGTTATTGGTTGGTATACTTTCCTTTCATGTGGAAAAAAAGACTTCTGATTTGAGAAGAAAAGCAAGGGCTTTTCAGTACAATCTCTCTAAGGAATCCCACCTAATCACTACTTCTCCTTTTTGGTCTTTTAGGATAGTCCTTCCCACGTTCAAAGGAGGGCTCTTCCTTTTCTCCAGTGATAACTCTTTTATGTAAACTTGGGAGTCAATTTCTTTCTAGATTTTTTTTTTAATATTTAGACTTATATCATTTTTTCTCTTCTTTAAAATGTGCTCATTCATTAAAAATACATTTACTGAGAGACAATTCTTTGCCAACAACTGTAGCAGGCATTGGAGAAATGATGTAGATAAGGTTTGTATTCTGCTACATTCTCATGGGAGAAATAAAAAGTAAATAAGGAAGTAAAAATATATGTGTATTTGTATTCATATATATGTATATACATGCATTTATTTAATAAATATGACAGTTGCAAGTAGTAATAAGGAATATGAATAAAGGTAAAGGAGAGTAGGCAAATGAACTAACTGGTGAATAAGGGTGGGTTATTTTAGATAGGTAAATTTCTTTAAAAAAATTTTTTTTGGGAGAGTATGAGCCACCAGGGGGGAGGGACAAACAGAGGGGGAGAAAGAGAATCTTAAGCAGGCTCTACCCCCATTGTGGACCCTGACACAGGGCTCAATTTCATAACCCTGAGATCATGACCTGAGCCAAAATCAAGAATTGGATGCTTATCTGACTTAGCCATCCAGGTGCCTGGAGATAGGAAGATTTTTTAAAATCCCTCCAAGGAGGCAGTATCTGAGCAATGACTTGACTGATGTAAGGGTATGAGTTAGACCGATCTATGGGGGAACACTATTCTAGGCAGATGAAGTAGTAAGTATAAAGGTTTTAGGGTGGGTATTTACTTAGGAGGAGGAACAGAAAAAATATAATTAAAGAAGAGTGAATGATACAGTAATAAATATAGTTAAGCAACTCCAGAAAAGGAGTTCAAATTTTATTTTTTGAGGTGGTGCTCTCTCACTTCTAGCCAAAGAAAATGAGTATCCTCTCTGAAGGAAAGCAAGAAGGCTTTAGAATTCTCAAAACTTAAGATCAACAAAAGATGAGGTAACAAAGGTCATCAAACCCACAAGGAAATAGGTCATAGGTGAGGAACAGATAATCTAAAGAAGCAATAGATTACCAGGCAAATGATTTCAGATATTGATATTATTAGATCTAAATGTAAAATGTTGGTGATATATATGTATGTGTGTGTGTGTGTGTGTGTGTGTACATATATGTAGTTGGTGGTGAAATATTTAAGAAATAAGCTAAGTCACAAAAATGATAAGCAATAAGAGATTTTCATAAGGGATCTGATTTGAAGTATTGAAGGAGAATCAGATAGGACATTCCAAAAGGTTCTGGTTAAATCTTTCTTAAAAATAATCATTAATAGATTGATAAATGGGCATAAAATTGTTTTCTTTATAAAACAACAGAGAAAGTAAAACACAGGCCTTGAGTTGGGTACATATATTTGCAGTTCATATTGACAACAGTGAAATTACTATGAATATAAAAGGCATTTATAGGTAAAGAAAAAGATAAATAAGATAAATAAATTTTTTTGAAAAATTGGGTAAAAGACATTCATAGGCAGTTCAAAGAAAAGGAAATAGTAAATCAAGGAGGTGAACAGCTTATACTCTGAAAACTATAAAACACTGATGAAAGAAGTTCAGGATGACACAAATGGAAAGATATTCCCTGCTCATGGATTGGAAAAATTAATAATTATTAAAATGTCCATACTACCCACAGCAAACCACAGATTCAATGTAATACCTAACAAAATACCAATAGTATTTTTCACAAAACTAAAACAAATATTATCCTAAAATTTGTATGGAACCACAAAAGTCCCTGAGAAGCCAACAGAATCTCAAGAAAGAACAAAACTGGAGGTATTATACCAGTTTCAGATTTCAAGTTATACTACAAAACTATAGTTAACAAAATATGTACTGGCACAAAATAGACACATAAATCAATGGAATAGATTGCAGAATTAAACCCACACATATGGGCGGCCTGGGTGGCTCAGCGGTTTAGCGCAGCTTTCAGCCCAGGGCGTGATCTGGAGACCCAGGATCGAGTCCCACGTCAGGTTCCCTGCATGGAGCCTGCTTCTCCCTCTGCCTGTGTCTCTGCCTCTCTCTGTCTTTCTCTGTCTCGTGAATAAATAAATTCTTTTAAAAAAATAAAAATAAACCCACACATATATCATCAATTAATCTACAGCAAAGGTGGCAAGAATATCCAGTTGAGGAAAATTGAGTCTCTTGAATAAATGGTTCTAGAAAAACTCGACAGGTACATGCAAAAGAACAAAATCTACAGCACTTTCTTACCCCTCACAAAAATAAACTCAAAATGGATTAAGGTCTAAATGTGAGACCTGAAATCATAAAACTAAAAGAATACATAAGCAGTAGTCTCTTGGATGTCACTCTTACCAACATATTTATGGATATGTCTCCTTAGGCAAGGGATACAAAAGCAAAAATAAACTATTGGGACTAGATCAAATTAAATGCTTTTGTACATCAAAGGAAATAATTGAACAAAATGAAAAAGAACCTACTCAATGGGAGAAGATATTTACAAGTGATGTATCTGATAAGGGGTTAATACTATGTTGGGGACGCCTGGGTGGCTCAGTGGTTGAGGATCTGCCTTCGGGTCGGTATGATCCTGGGGTCCTGGGATTGAGTCCCATATTGGGCACCCCACGAGAAGCCTGCTTCTCCCTCTGCCTATGTCTTTGCCTCTCTCTGTCTCTCATGAATGAATAAATACAATCTGTAAAAAAAAAAATCACTGTTGTTTTAAAAAAAAGTACAAATAGCCAATAGACATGCAAAAGTGCTCATCATCATTAGCAATCAGGAAATACACACTTAAACCACAGTGAGATAATTATTTCAGATACCCTAGAGGGGCAAAAATTAAGTGGTAGTATTAAGTGTTCACAACTTATGGTGGCAGAAGAGCTATATACCTCATTTTCACCATAGTCAGAAAGTGAAAAATGACCCAAATGTCTGTTGACTGATGAATGAATGAATAAAATTTGGTATAATTTTACAGTTATTCAGCAATACAGTACCCATGTGTCAACAAATGCTTATCAACTGGTGAAAGGATTAATAAAATTTAGTTTAAGGTAGAATATTATTTAGCAATAAAAAAAGGAGTACTGATACATGCCTACTTTGGAGATCAACCTTGAAAACATGGTACATGAAAGAAGCCAGATACAAAGACTATAATATTACATGATTCCATTTATATGAAATGTCTATAATGATCTGTAGAGACTGGAAGTAAATTAGTGGTTGCCGAGTGCATTTGGGGTGGCAGATGAAGGTGAACTGGAGAATGAAAGTAGGGAAATTGGAAAGGACTACTAATAGGCATAGGTTTCTTTTTGAGATGATAAAAATATAAAACTAAATTGTGGTGATTGTTGCACAGTTCTGTGAATGTATTTAAAATATACTGTTGGTATGTGAATTATATTTGAACAGATCTGTTTGTTTTTTACTGATGGCACTATCAATTGACGTAACCACTTTGAAAAAAGAGTGGAAATGATTTCCAAATTTATATGCATAG